TTAAAACTTTGCTGCCCACTTACAACACTTACTAGTTGTCTGACATTGTGGAAGTGAATGTAAATCATTAGCATAAATTACATGACAGTCAATGAAGAATCCATGTTAGTTGCTCTTGGTAATTTTATAAATATCATATCATGCTTTCTCGTCTTTATTTGCATTCTCTATCCTCATATTGTAATATTTAACTTATAATTTTTTACTATAGATATTTTTTCTGGTTTCTGTTGCTACCCTGCCTTTATAAATATGTTTTGACATGCATAGTGTCAAGATTTGATGTCACCTTGAAGACTAAGGTGTGTTTGACGCAGCCATGGTACTGCAATCTCCTACGTAAGTTGGATATTGTATAAAGAAGACTGAAGGAGAAAGGATGCGTGTGAAATGTGGTGTTGGTGAAGAATATTAAAACTACTATGCTAGGAGAACAAATAAATCTGCCCTGGAAGAAGCATAACTAGGAGGCTTCTTAAAAGTGAGGGTGGCAAGACTTTGTGTCAAACACTGTGGACCTTTTGTGAATATCCCTGGAGAAGGACGTCTCCTTGCTCGGTGAAGATGAGGAAGACCCTCAAGGAGAGGGCTTGGCATCCTGATTACAACCATGGGCCCAGACTGTGAGGATGGTGCAGGAGGGGAAGTGTTTCCTTCTTTTGGACTGGGGCCAGTGTGAGTTGGGCTCAATCAGACAGCACCTAACCATAGGAGCGGTGTCCAATTTGTGTTCATTTCCCTTAGTTCAGAAATAGCAAGTGAGGGAAAAAAATCAAGTTAAAAATCAGTTATATTGAATCACTGAAAAACCCACTTAAGGTCTCTCATTTGTAGAGTATATCTAAGGAGTTTCCAAAAGGTCATGAAAACACCCATTACCTTTTAATTCCATTTTCCTCAGAATGTTTTGAAGTGCGCCCACCCCAACACCCTCCTTCCCGCACCTTCACCCCCACATAGTGCCCAGGGAAGAAAAAAATGCTAAGCTTCTGAAAATTGAGAGAGGCTTCAAAACCTTTGTTGAATAAAAGGAAACCGCCTTTTCTAAATCAGTGCTTGCACTTGCTTTTAGCATCCCAACACGTAACCCATTTTGCTATTGGTCGGTGTCTGACTCATCGTGACTATATATATAGGACAGAGTAGAACTACCCCATGGGGTTTCCAAGACTGTAAGTCTTTATGGGTCGAAGAGTGTCTGATGGGTTTGAACCATAGCCCAATGCCTAACTCACTGCACCCCCTTAGCTTCTAAACTACAACGATGATCATTTTTCTTTGTGGTTAAAAATTATTTGAATAATTATTAACCCCCCAAATTTTAAAGGCCAACTTCCCCCAGGGTTGTCTCTTACAGGTTCCTTTTTCAGTATGTCTCTTGCCCATTTCTTTTCCTAAACCCACACTCTTGTGCTTTGTTAATTGGTACCAGGACCTGACTCCCCCAGTCCTTACTCAGTTACCCCCGTTCACTCGCCAGCCTAACCTTGAGTGCCCTAGAGCCCCATCAGCACTGTCTTCTTCTCTGCAGACCTTCAGATGGCCATGACTTTGTTCTGCTTCCACACCTGTGCTTCAGGAATCCCCAGGCTTTGTAATAGGTTGTGGGTTTGTTTCTCCGAGGGAGTCGTTGCTTGGCATTACCATATGCTTTTAGAAGCCGGTGTGTGGAGTGAATAAATGACTTTGAAGATGAAATAACCACAATTTGAGCAGGAAAAGATCTTATGAGGAAATACATGGAAGGCAGCAGTATAAAAAGTTTAGTTTGTAATGTCTTATATATGTGTGTGCCAAATGTGTCTATAGAGTTGTCTTTCCTTGTTATTATGCATCCCTATTAATCCACAATATTCATACGTGATCCATAAAGTAGACGTTCTCACTGCCCCCTTTTTAGAGGTGGAAATAGTCACCCAGGGACATCAAATTGGTGGCCAGAAATCAGGGAGCTAGCAAACTGGGGCACTAGTTCAACTCCGGGTGAATGTGAAATTCTCCCTGCTGAGTGCACTGACTCACCTGGGCCATAACCGTTCCATCTCAAGTAATATGTGTTGAATGGGTGCTTTTCTGTGCTACATATGTTGATAAGTTTAGATCATATAGGATTCTTTCTCTTAAAACTGTTTTGGGCAGGAAGTGTTTGCTTTTTCAGAATTTGAATTCTCTACTCCAGTCTTTAAAAAAAAATCATTTTATTGGGGGCTTGTACGTCTCATCACAGTCCATACATCCATTCATTGTATCAAGAAAATTTGTACATTTGTTGCTATCATCATTTTCAAAACATTTTCTTTCTACTTGAGCCCTAGGTATCAGCTCCTCTTTCTTACCCCATCCCCCTTCCTCCTCCTTCCCTCATGAATCCTTGATAATTAATATATATTATTATTATTTCAAGTCTTACACTGACTATTGTCTCCCTTCACCCACTTTTCTGTTGTCTGCCCCCAGGGAGGGGGTTATGTGTAGAGCCTTGTGATTGGTTCTCCCTTTCTACCCCTACCTTCCCCCAACCCTCCTGGTATCGCCACTCTCATTATTGACCCTGAGGGGTTTATCTGTCCTGGATTTGCTGTGTTTCCAGCTCTTACCTGTACCAGTGCACATCCTCTGGTCTAGCCCAATTTGTAAGGTAGAATTGGAATCGTGATAGTGGGTCGGGGGTGGGGGGAGCATTAAAGAACTAGAGGAAAGTTGTATGTTTCATCGGTTCTATCCTGCACCCTGACTGACTCATCTCCTCCCCACGGTCCTTCTGTAAGGGGATGTCCAATTGCCTACAGATGGGCTTTGGGTCT